CCCCGCCCCCCCCCCCTCCCTCTCCTTTCGCCATCGTCGTGCAAGCAGCGTGGGTGATTGTTTCTCTCGCGGCGGGAAACAAATCCGCGCGCGATGACAACGCGACGCACCCTGCACTCTAACGGTGCTTCGTATCAACGGTATGCCATGCTGCAACAAAAGCACACCGCACATCGCTCCGCAGAGTGCTGTTTGTCGCTTTCGCGTCGCGTGTTTACGCGCTGGCGCACTGTAATGAATTCGAGATGGTCTTCCAACGCGTGCTACTCCCCCGGTTTTGTTATATTCCACGTTTCTCTCTATGTATTCGATTAGTCGCAGCATACCGCATACATTGGATCTGCATAGCTACATGTTCGGTTCCTAACACGCTCGCACTACGACGCATTGATGTGAGATCGCGATATATGTATACAATATTACGGTCATTCGACGTGGGGTTGCATTATATAGTCGTGGTCCTTTCGCAAACTCGGTTTAGTTTTCACCGCAGCTCGATATCGCAAAATGTTGTGCCAATACTGCCTCCGTACAAACAGAGTATATTTGAGTTTTCGATGTTCATGAGTTCCGAATATCAAATAGGGCGATATGATATTTACGATATAGAAGAAAACAACATTGAAGAAAATAGAAAAATAACTCTATCGCGGTACAATCTTGTTAACTAGAACTTAGATGAGGAAAGGCCCCTATTATGAGGTACCGAGATACCCATTTTGGATAAATGCTAGAAGTCTATGGGCAGAATTTAAAAAAATAATAGGTCATTTTGAAGGGAATTTAATAAGCTTTAAGATAACGTTATATAAAACTTAATTCAAATTCCATTTTTTTTTTTTGAAAATTAAAGAAATGTAAAAAATGAGCAAATCGCAAAGTTAAAAAATTGTGCTTCTAATGAGATGCCCCGAGAAATCGATAGTAAAACGCAAAATATATTAGTATTGCAATTAAAAAACTTTATTTCATGTGTTTCTAAAATGCAAACGAACACAGCCAGCGTGAAAAATGAGTATGCGATAGATTATACCCAGAACTCGTCTTCAGGTAGTTGGAATCAAGCATCGCAGAAATAAGCACTCAACGTTCATTCCGGTTGTCCTTTTTATTATTGTACAATAACATTTACTCTTTAGCAACGATTTTCACTATACATAGGAGCATGGGTTATTTCATATTAGAAATACCCTGGGTATCTCATATTACGATTTCCACGCCTTATAGTTTTACGATCATCAGATCAAACTTCTGTAATTAAACAATTCAACATATCTCGTATTTTTCTATTAGTACGACTTTACTCTATCACTACATAAAGAATTTATTACCAAATATTTATTTATGAAATAATAAACAAGGTTTGAGAAGGCTTATCTCAATGAAACTTGAAGACATCCAAATTCTAAAATCTTTTTTTACAATGACTACAGACATGATCTAATAATTAATTTTCTACTAAATAGTTCTCAATCCAAGAGCAATAAATTCATGGTGGAACCAATAAATAGCGTTTATTAGTTTAGCAGAAACGCCGCTATCTCATATTAGGCGTCTATCTCATAATAGGGGGCTTTCCTCTATATCATATAATGGGCATCGAAAAATCAATTTGGACGCTCGCTACATGTAAATATCGCGTACGAATCATTTAAAAAAAAGAGATTTTAAAAAATAATCATAAAAGTAGCTCAGAAATATCCACATCGAATAATGCATCCGAAATAGAACGGAAAAAAGCGAGGGAAAAATATAGCGTAATGGAAGGCACGGAAGTGGAAGCGCGCGTTGGATGTTTTTTTTTTCTCCGTGATGGGTGCTATGACCGATTCGTTTGTTTAGTGGCATTGATTATTCAAGGATGTCTACGTCACTTTCGTGACGTTTCATCTCGATAATTCGAACTGTCCATCTACCGAGGGTCGCTAACTTCCCAAGTTGCACACAGTGATCGATATAAACGACTGAAATTCCTGATGCGAGTATACTGCGGCACGAATATGTATTAGACGATGTACATATTTCTTACGGTATGATAGATTTGATAACGCAAGTCACGCGTCTTATCAAAGCTGGAGATCTATATAACCATATTACCTCCATAATACGCGTAGTATTTGATGCAAATCAGCTCTGTGTTTCAGTCAACGAATAAAAATACGAGAGTCATTTTTACTTAACTATTATGTGTAGAATGTCCCACGGTATTCACATTTATCAGATAAATTATTCTTGTTTTTTTTTTTGCAGTTAACTTTCGGTAATTATATCGCTGTAGACGAAGCTGTCAGATATACGCCCCATCCGGAAGATCCCACCAAAACGTTACTCACACAAGAAGCGGTGGTCACCGTCCGAGGGGTACCCCTGACCAACTACATGGAGGACCTCTTAGCTTCAAAAATCTCCTTCAACGCGAGCAAAGTAAGTGATCTCTTATTGTTAAGAAATCTCTCTTGCATATGTGCAACGCTCTAAATTTCTTGCAATGAAATTTTATTCCAAGAAAGCGAAAATACAACCACCTTTGAAAAAAAGTGAAAATATTTCACTTCTTGAAAATCGTCGCTCTTTTTCAAGAAGTGAAATATTTTCACTTTTTTTCAAAGGTGGTTGTATTTTCACTTTCTTGGAGTGAGATTTCACTGTAAAAAATTTAGAATGAACTTACTAAAAATTTGACGAGATCAAATATTGTTATGAATTATTATTTGTAAAATTATTTTTATTATAATTCCGATAAAATACGAATGATGACGTGTTCTAACGTTTAAGAAACGAAGTTGTTTTACGATCGAATAAACAGAGAGATGCAAACTGTCTCTTGGGAAACATGCAAATTTCTGCCTGAAAAATTTTTCTATGCATGCTATTGACGCTTTTTTTCAATACGGTGTCAAAGATTTGTCATAAAAATGTTTCATAAAATAGTAATGCACTCGCGCATTTCATAAAAATGTATGAATGACACTGCAATGGCATCTTCGCAATCACGTGCTTTTTCGCGTATGCAAATAATATTTTATTTTCGTTTAAGGGTCGACAAGGGTTGCAATGGGTGATCAACAAGCTCGAATCCGAGATGAAGGAGTTTGCCTGAAAGGCCCGGCCGCCGTCGCGAAACTTCTAAACTGCCGCTATCAGCACAACACGAGCGCCGGCGTCGATAGGGAGCGGCAACTTCTAGATCGAACGATTACGCGGATCAGAAGAACATTAACGTCCCGGGCTTCGTCAGAAACGAGCAGATGATTCGCCGCGAGCCATGTAGATCGCCTAACTGAATTTTACGAAACTTGTTACTAACCGGTTTGCAGGCATGAACGTTCCCTTTGAAGGGCGATTGCCTCCGCAACAGTACACTTGGGTCCAGACTTGCAAGGATCTGTCCACGGATGGGTGAGATAACGACTGATATAGAAATACGAAAATACATAGATTTAATTAAAACGAACAAGTACAATGGTTAGCATGGCGATTGAATGGCAATAATTCCAATGTTTCGATCCGTACATACATCTGTCAGCAGATTACTGATCCGTAATGTGTGTACGTATGAATTTACTTACACTTAGTCAATTTAAAAAATGTGGGTATTTACCAGTGTCCACAGTTTAGGAAATTCAAAATTAATTATATTTATCGAATGGATATATCAATATATCAATATTGTATGTAATTTATATTTTATTTAATATCGTCTGAAAATTTTTTAAATTAGTATTATAGACACAATTTCGTTATAACATTCATAAATTGTTTTTCGTTTATTCCCCCCTTTCTTCTATATACTTTATCGCCTACTATTTATTTATTGCATATCATTTAGTATCGCAAATTAAATTTTTGCTCGATGGTGCGAGTTATACATCGTAGGAAACCTATTACAAGCTCAACACATGAACAGTCCCATTGACTGGGCGAAGACAAACAATGCAGACACAGACCTTCGCGAAACTATGTTCCTCGGAACTATGTTCGCCGGACTCTCATTCCTCCTCAGTCAAAGCTCTTTGATCGCGGCGAGTAGGCAACTTACATCGCGTTCCAGAATCACTGCACGATCCCTTTGACGCGTACTCGCATTCGAGAATTGTATCGTTGTCGCGACTAATTAATTTCGCGGTTTTCTCTTTGTCGGCACTGTGTTGGCGTATACAGAACGTTTACAAATCACGTCGATTTTTTTCCTCGCGTTAGCTTTCACCGATCTCACCGAACTCTTTTTCGCGCGGATATTTTATTCTTTTCAGTCGATGCGATCTGTCTAAATCTACCGATTGTTTTTAAATCCCAATTGAGGTATGAAAGTGCTCGGCCATAAAAGAAGCATCGAAAGAGGTACTTTTTGTATCAAAAAGTCAAACGAAAAGGGAGAGAAAGGGATGACTTCACGTACGGCCCATGCGAACGGACGAGAGCGGGCCGGGACGCTTTAATTTAGGGAAGTCGACATGCACGTCGAACGCGGACGTTGATTTACCCACGAGCTCAGCGGTTCGATAGGAAAACCGAGCAGACATCAAGCAGTGGTGCGTGGGACGCGTACAAAGGATACTGCCCACCGCTTTGTGATCGGAAGCTGTCAATATTTGTCTGCGTCGGGTAACAGTGAGGTCAGCAATGAACCGTAACGTCATCAATTATCTCTTACATACCACCATCAAACGAGCCGCGCGTCAAAGTCCGTCCTACTTTGACCTCCTCACCTCTGATCACTTGCGGTCTACCTGGTGACTCGATCGACTAAAGCATGGAAATCATTCCTCGACAATCGAAAGCAACAATGACTCGGTCGAAACTTCAATTCGTTCGGTCAGTAATTGTTGGAAATGTCGAGTTCGAATCCTCTAATGGCAAATCGATTTCTCGCGCGTGTATTGGGTGCTACACACGTGGAAGTACTCTACGGCTCTGCGCGAGTGCCCTCGAAAGATAGTTAGGGCGGGCGAATGTCCGGAGAAGAGAGAATGACATTGGAATATTTCGCGTAGAGTATTGCGAGCATCGGTGGGCCACCTTGACCGACATATCAAGGTCTTCCACGTGGTGCTGTGGAAAAGTTATAGAGTTAAGATCGTACAATCGTTGATGACCGTTCGATCTGAATATTTTGTTTCTATATCATCAGATTACATTTAATTGTTCTGATATTAATAGGATCGAAATTGAGAAAAGAGAAAATGCGCTCTCTCCGCGTCCCATATGTTTTACGTTTACAAATTTGATTCGAATTTCGTATATATCATCGACGATTCCAGACAGACCGATGACACCAAATGTGCGCAACCTGGGTACATACACGTATCACATATTTATCTTGGTATCGCGAATAAAGCTCGCGTGCGTCTTGCCTTATCCATATTTAGATTACAATGCTTTACATTAGAGACGATACGGGCGAAGTGGCAATACTCGAGAGGGGTAAAAGTCGCTCTCGTGTGTGGTTTTCGGAAAAATCGGAAAACGTCTCGCGCTGCTTGCCTCGGATTCTCGTGACTCCGCAATGAGACTGCAGCGGGGCGCGCAGAAGATCTCGGGACACCGCACCGAGTAGCTCTCGTTCCTTTCGACCTTCGGGCGTACGTATCCGAGCTCGTAAAAAGGATTCGCCTTTCAGTCGAATCCCATCCTCGTCCCCTTCGATTCCATCTCACCCGGGAGAGGGTGAGATTCGTAGAATCGTCGAACGGTCTCTCATGGTTTACACATCGTGACGGTGCGCTTTCGTCAAAACCCGTAAAAGCTCTCGGGGACGATCTACTCTGTGAGAGCTAGCAAGCGGTCAAGGAGATCCTCCTCACCGTTGCCGATTCACGACCTCGTGAAATGCTATCCGCCGCAGTCTCGGCGCTCGTCTTATTTTCCTCGCTTTGCTCCGTTACACCCATCGGCTTTTGCGCCGCAAAAGATCTGCGCGGCGTCGATCTTGTTCCAAATAATAAATTCGATCAGCCCGCGAGTCCATACACCAGATCGGTCAAGTACGCCCTGAAAAGTTCTAACGATTGCCTTTTTTCTTTTTATCAGACATTTTTAAAAGTTCCAAAGACTTCCGCGTGCCTCGACCGTTTCCGTTTGTAGAATTAGGGTCGATGAAGGGAAAAAGTTTACTCCACGTGCAGTAAATAACACGCGTTGTGATATTTAATTCGAAAAGTTCCTTGCAGCGGAGAGATTGCATTTTACTAATGAAAAATCTTGGATAAATGCCAAAAGCATTCTCTATTAAAATACCGTTTCCTTAAATATGCGCAACCGTGATATTTTTTAGATAACTTAAGAAAAGAACATCATCTTGACATGAAAAATTTCTCTCTTTTTTTTTTTTGCGGATCATCTTCCTGCAATGCCTGTCAAGCTCTTATTTTACTTGCATCAGTAGATAAAAAGAATTGGCCGCAAACCAGCACCCGATGTTCGCAAACTCATTGTATTTCTAAACCAACTTCGTCAATACATCCCGTTTTATCCTTTCTGAGAAAGAACTTTTAATGAGTTCGCGTACACTGTTTAAAGATTTAAAGTTTTGCGAGCTTCAAAGAGATCGTGCCATGCTTCTCTAAAGTATTACAGGCAAGGCGAAGCATTATTATGACGTACAGAACGTCTGCGATATTACATCGTAAAAATTGCCTCTGTATATTAGTTCCTCGCTGTCTGTTCCCTATCAAAAATTCAAAGAGAAATACATACTGTGAACGGGAGAAAAGAAAAGAAAAGGAAACCTTCGAATATCTAACAAGATTATACAAATCTTTTTAATATCAAGAAATAATTTTAGTTAACTTCGCATTTCGACAGTCACATATCTGTAACAAAAGTTTAAGGCGCTGCCACAGAAAAAAACGAAATTTAAACGTACGCAATAATCAAACGATTTTAGGTGCCAGTAAGAGAGTGATTCTACGAAACACTATATTAAAATTGTATTCTCTATTTTACGTTCCGAGCGTTCAAGTCTTCTCACCGCAAAAGTACGAAGATAACGGCGATGCGATCACAAATAATTGCTAAACGTGACGAGCATTGGCGAACGGCGGCCACGAAGAACGAACGAGTGATCTTTAATTTAAGTAGTATATGTATTTCCCGGGCACAATGTGGTAGATAGTTGCGGCAAAGTTGATCGCACGAAATTGGTTAACGTCGACGTTGTATCGCGTCGCGGCTATGCGAGCACATAGGTATTCATTGTAAAGCAGATACATAGGTAATAACGGGAGACGCTGAGCCATTGTGGACGACGCGGCGCATACGCTTGCCCTATTAGCATACAATTATCTTTATGCTTCTTTTATGATTCATATTTAATGCCGGTTTCGCCGCCGCCAACATCGGCATCCGCGTCGAAACCGTCTTGAAGTTGGTAAACTTTTATGATCGTACTTGTTTCGAAACTTAACGTACCCCGTGCTTGCCTGTTATCGGGCCTACCACAATTCGCTTGCACCCTTGTTAAACGTGCCCCGGAAAGTACTTTCTAGAACACGCGCTGCACGAAAATTTATCGCCACACGTGCGAACAATCGACAAATGCGATACGCGTCGATTATGTTTGCTTTGTCGCGTCAACGTGACGAGCATTGAGATTATAGGAATGACGATAAGGCTATTGTATCGACGACTTTTTATAATGCTGTGTAAAATATGACATGAAATATAATGTATAAAATATGAAAATAATTTTCAATAAAATATTTTGCTGTGTTTTCTACATGGTGTCAGTTGTTTTCTTCCTCGCCTTTTTAAGGGAATTGTTAGAATTGTCCTTCATCGATTTTGATGGACTCTGGATATATTATATCGTTAAAAAATATTTAACCCATATTTTTTATCTGCTTATTTTAAGGTTTACGGATCGAAACAACACTTGAGAATGGGAGTAAATTAAAAAATTTGATATTTTAGAAAAAATAAATATACCATTATTAGAGATATAAAATGCTTTGGTGTTATAAAACATTTTTTTTTATATATCTCATAGTTTCGAAGCTATTCGCTGAAAATAAAAAAATTCGTTATTTTCGAAGGATTATTCACAAACTTGATAAACAGATAAATAATATAAGTCTTATATTTTTTGATGCTCTACATCAACATATTCAAAGCTCATCAAAATTGGTGAGGAACAGTTTCGACAGTTTCCTTGTAATTCCAATAACGTGACACAAATGGGATGATATTCAATATTTCAATATATTTCGACGATTTTCGGATTTGACATTTATTTATATACGGATTTGCGATTCACGTTAGGACGTATAACGTGACTTTCTTTTTCCGAAATGGCGAAAGGAAAAAATTGAAACAATAAAACACAATAATGAAAAGGCACGTATTCTGAATATTGTACTGTTTCGCATGGTCTATGGCTATAACGAGCGTACTTCCAATGA